GCTGGGATACATGAAATACATCGTGTAGGTTTGAAAGAGACGGTGGCAAAGCCAACCGATAAGCAACCGGACCCACACGCTGTATGATCTGATAGGGACCAACAAACCTCGGTGTCAACTTCCTTGCCTTCAGCGCTCTACCCACACCAGAGGTCGGAGTCACCTTCAGAAACACATGCTCCCCTTCAGCAAACTCCAAAGGCTTACGCCTTTTATCAGCATAAGATTTCTGCCTACTCTGAGCAGTCTTCATCCTATCTTGAATTAGCTTTACCTTCTCAGTAGTCTGTAGGATCAGCTTCGATCCCACAACCACTAACTCACCATCTTGATACCAGCACAGAGGAGTCCTACATCTCCAGCCATACAAGGCTTCAAACGGCGCCATCCCAATACTAGCATGAAAGCTATTATTGTAAGTGAATTCAACCAGCGGTAAGACCTCCTCCCAGCTTCCTAAGTGGTCTAACACACAAGCCCTCAGCAGATCCTCCAAGGACTGGATTGTCCTCTCTAACTGACCATCCGTCTGCGGATGATAAGCAGAACTCAGCTTCAGCTTCGTGCCTAAGGCTTCATGTAGACTCTGCCAAAATCTGGAAGTGAACCTCGAATCTCTGTCTGAAATAATACTGGAAGGCACCCCGTGCAACCGTACTATTTCCCTCACATACAACTATGTCAGCTTCTCCAAGGACCACTTGATGTTGACAGGTAAGAAATGCGATAAGCAACCGGACCCACACGCTGTATGATCTGATAGGGACCAACAAACCTCGGTGTCAACTTCCTTGCCTTCAGCGCTCTACCCACACCAGAGGTCGGAGTCACCTTCAGAAACACATGCTCCCCTTCAGCAAACTCCAAAGGCTTACGCCTTTTATCAGCATAAGATTTCTGCCTACTCTGAGCAGTCTTCATCCTATCTTGAATTAGCTTTACCTTCTCAGTAGTCTGTAGGATCAGCTTCGATCCCACAACTTTTTTCATGTGTCTCAGTAAAGAAAATATATTTCTGATCCATCTCATGTAATAATGCCTGAGTAGTACAATTAAAGGATATAACTTTACATTTGAAACAATGCTTGTACAGATCGCAAACAAGAGGATCAAGCAGTTGAGAAACAAACAGATTTCACTGGTAAAGGTCATCTGGAATGATGTTACTGGAGATGCTACGTGGGAATTAGAAGAAAAACTCAGGGAAAACTATCCTTATTTATTTTTAAGCAATAAAAATTTCGAGGACGAAATTTCTATAAGTAGGGGAGAATTATAATATTCTAAATTTGTGATACAACATTCTCAATTTTATATTATATTATATATATATATATATATATATTTAATTAAACTCCATTCATGTGAACAATCATAAATCAAATGCATTTTTTTTTA